CTAGAAATTGGCCTCAATGATTTGGGATCGAGGGGGATTATCCCTCTTTATCCTGCCTCATCTCGTGTAGGCCTGGACAGCCTTCGTAGGTGGGCCCCATCCGTCGTCTACCCCGACCGCAAATGCGGCCGGTGTAGGCGCTTTGTGGGACCTCCTTTTGTCCTGGCTGGGCCCCGCCGGCTAGGGCCCTTTCTTCTGGCGCTCTTCTTGCTTCGCCGGCTCGTCTGTGTAAACCCCGGGGGTAGTGTCATGTTTATGTGTGGTATGGTTGGGTAGGGTAGTGCGGCTATGCAGCCTGGGATGCGCTTTGCTAAGGTGGCCCTTAGGCCAGCGCGGGAGGGGAGTGGTAAGGAGGGTATGGGGGGTGTGTACGTGTGTGTGTGTGTGTGTGTCGTTGTCTTCGTTTCTTGATCCTGGCTGTCTCTGAAACAGAAAAGGTTAGCGGGCAGGGTTCAAGTGACTTGCTACATTCTTTATATGTACACAATAGTACACATGTATTTAATACTATATTTCAACTACAGTTAAAAAGATTTATGAATTTGAATTATAGCCCTTGAGTACCTGGCATATATCTCCGTCAAAAAGAATATAAAAGTTTGAAATCTTAACAATTCAAGGTAAAGTAAATAAGTTTATTTTCGTCCATTAATATGTATTATATTGGGATTTGATCACATGAATATGAATATTCAAGAGTAGTTGTTTTAAATATCAAATTGTAAATTGAAATGTTCTTTTTATTTATTTCATAGTACTCCATAAAATTATTGTGCATAAAAAGCTCTTATAGATTTTATGTATTTATTTACAAATATGTCTTTGGGTTCGAGATTAATCCAAACATTGCAGCAACTTGTCACTAGCAGTACAGATTATAAAAGTATACGTCCACTAGCAAGAGAATTCTTCGGTTCTATTTACAATATTGCAACATCTGATTATACATTTACTCAAGAGGAAAAGTTGATTGTTGGGAACTTGGTCCATAGTTCATTACCAATTTTGCAAACCTACCTATGTTTGCGTGTTGATGAATACGACAGCCATTCCGGTTTGATTTCCAGGATGGACAGGTCATCTTTACAATTTTTGTTAGATGATTACAAAGATTTTCCCGTCTCAAAAGGAGAAAAGTTAGGTGATTATCTGCCTTCTCTTATTGATACTGAAGACTTAGCACAGTGGGATAACTTTTTGAGAAATTACATAGACGGTGAGGTAGACGCAATCATAGACACATCGTCGGACGAATTTTTGAATATTCCCAAATCGCATTGGTGGTGGCGTCAGTAATTATAATAATATAGACATACACACATACACATACATACATACCTACATAAATACATGCACAAATGTTTTTTTTTCTCAACTACATTGGCTACACGCTACACATGATTATCTGTGTATATTAGTATAATCTCGTAGTTGTGTGAAAACAGGAATACCCTGTTCTTTTAACCAAATTCTTATGTTTCTTAAATTGTCTAGTATTTTTATCAAACATGTTAATTAACCTTATTTATACCTATATATTCAAATGACTTGTCCTGTAGTTTTATATGTCCTTTTTAAATTAAATAATCCTCATTCTTTACTTTTTATTGTAATTATGCAATTACATTCATTATTCAGTTTGTTTAAACAAGTTCGATTCCTTAAATAAAAGTTCAGTAGAATATCTGTATTTACTATTTATTCACAATAATTTAATCCTTTTTTGTAGATTATCTAGAAATGTAAGGAACGTTTTCCCAGCATCTCCTGATCCAATTATTCCATACTTTAATATTTATTATTTAGGTTCTAAATGCTTCCCATAGATAACAGATATAATACAGAAAATTCTTCCTTTTAACTTTATAAATTTCTCTTTCAATTTCAAAGTTTTGAGGTTATATTTTGATATAAATTCGTCTTCTTCTTCCTACGCGTGGTATGCACAAAATATCCTCTCGGGGATATTTTGTGGTGGTATGAACTTGAACGTGCAATGGAATTATGATTGGATATTGGATGGCACAATGCCCATAAAAAATAAATTCAAATTCATATTGTTGTCATGTGGTGATGTAGTCTACAATAAATTTAAATTTATTTATTATGATTGCGAAATTCTGTTACCTGTTAGTCGTATTTAATATCTTCAACATAAACAATGATGTAGTCGCAACTTTAACACCAAAATCTCCTCGGGGTAATAAAGAAAATAAAAATAAAATAGATAAAGTTAGGTTAGGCCCTCAAAACTACACGGTGTTCGATAAAAATCTTGTTAATGAAGCAGCTACTGCCAAAGATATTCTAACAAATTGTCAAGCTTTTTTTAGAGAAACAGATGAATATAGATTCGATGGATTAGTCTTAGGATATGTTACTCCTGTAAGTGTTGAATAAATGATTATTTTAAACTGAAAAGTGTCAATGACTAAGAATATTTCAGTGGAATAACCATGGATATGATATAGCTAAAATATTTGGAAATAAATTTACACACATTAGTCCAGTGTGGCTTCAGATAGTACGAAAAGGCACTAAAAGCTATGAAATTCGTGGCACTCACGATGTCGATAAGGAGTGGATGGTTACCGTCCGAAATGCAGGAAGGGAAAGAAAACTTAAAAGTATGTCATTATTTATTTAATATTTTACCTTATAAATCGTTTTTGTAGTTGTACCCAGGGTATTGTTTGATGGGTGGACTCGCAATGATTACACGAAATTATTAGCTAGTAAAGAAGAAATGGCCGCTTTAATTAATGCATTCGTAAAAGCTGCTAAACAGTATGGGTTCGGTGGTTATGTAATTGAAGTTTGGTCCCAAATTGCCTCAGCTATACAGTTCGATCCTTTGATAGATCTCATTCGGAATATTGGTACGCTATAAAATTATGAATATTCTTGTAATGCTAATTATAGGTATTTCATTCCAGCCGATGGTTTAACTGTTGAAGGCTTAGATATAATACTAGTAATCCCACCAAAACGCGGCAAAGATGAACTGTTTACTGGTAAACATTTCGATGCCTTGTACGACTACGTTACCGCTTTTTCTTTGATGACCTATGATTTTTCCAACCCACATATGCCAGGTGAAAAATGAAATTCTTTACCTAAATGTATTTACCTCGAGATATTCCAGGTCCAAATGCTCCTTTGCCATGGGTTCAAGATTGCGTAACGGCGTTAACTTCAAATAAAAATAAGCGTAAGAAAATACTGACAGGTCTCAATTTTTATGGTAACGATTACACTTTGAATGGGGGTGGACCAATTGTTGCCCACGAATTCATTAGCAGACTCAAATTATTTAATGGAAAATTACAATACGATCCACAAATCGCAGAACATTTTTTTGAATATAAGTGAGTATATTTCAGTAATTTTTACTGTTTTGTTATTGTGAACCTGTTTCAGGGAGAGTGATGAGAAAAGACATTTGGTGTTTTATCCGACGTTATATTCAATAAACAAAAGACTCGAGTTGATCAAAGAGTTGAACACGGGTATTTCGATATGGGAACTAGGACAAGGATTGGATTACTTCTACGACCTGTTTTAGGTACTTTTTGTAGTCATTTTTTTAGCTTTTGTATGTTCCTTTGTAACACAGTTTATTGTGATATCTACACTGATAAAAGTTTTGTAAGTAGTTATAGCTTGCATTTTATTTTTATATTGGAAGCACTACACAACGAAATGATTGATATTAAAAATAATTGAACTAATGTATTTGAATGTGAAACTATATTTTGGTACAAATTACTTAAACCAATCCTACCGTTAAACTAAATTTGTTTTTAAATTCTAAGGGAATTATGATTTACTAAAAAGTTAATAAATAAAAATATAATTGGACTAGAACGTTGGTCATCATATCCGTTATTGCAAGGAACAAACTGTAGTGGCGCCTTTCGCACTGTTCAGAGTTGCCGCTCGCCGTTTCAGCCCTTCCAAATATACGTCTCTGTTGAACAAGCCCGCAGCTACTGGGATCCTGAAAATCACAAGAAATCCAGGGTAGGTTCTGTCCAATTGACGCAACCGCAAGAGTTATAAAGCGTGGACACACCTCGATACTTGCATATGTGCACTTTACCGGGTCAATGTAATTTTCGAACGGAACAATCAATTTTGACGAATGAAGCCTCAAATTATTCGTAAAAAAGTTCTCGGTTAGGATTTAAATTCTACGCAAATTGAGTTCATTTCAGTTGTCGCTGGATTCACTTTTCGTGCACCACTTTAAGGAGAAAACCACATTAGGAGGTTCAAAAAATCGCTGCCAAAATTTCAAACGAAATTCCTATTCATTCCGATTTTATAACTCGAAAACCGAAAACCCATCGGGTCAGTGCTTGGGCGCACGGCAGCTAAGGCGAAGCACTTGTTCAAGTACTCTAGTCACTTATTAAGCAAAAAAATAACAGATTCAAGCTTAGGATTATGCCTATGAGGAAGAAGGATTGTTATATGGTGTTGGAATCGCTGATTGATCGGAAAGCAATTCTATATTATTAACAACTTTCTCAACTTTTGGAAACTTTTTAGTTTTCAGAAATCTTCAAACATGTTTTTCTTGAAACGACTTTTTTTGATTCACGGAAACTTTAGTTCAAAAAGTTATGAACCGATCGTTATGAAAATTGAAAGTGTGTTTCTTTATGAAATTACAAAGAACATGAACCGACAATTGGGCTGATATCATAATTTTAAGGGTGTTTTTTATTCAAAATAATTGAAAAAATAATTGTGAAAATCAATGCTTTTTTCAAATACATGTCAAAATTTCGATTTTCACAATTTTTACCCGCAATGAGATTCATAGTTTTAGAAGACATGTTATTAATGCAGGAAAACAACTGTTTTGCTTTCAGATCAAAATTGTGACCTCCACATTTCCCGCGAAGAACCAACCCGGACGACGACCCTCGGTAGACAACAGCCCTTAATTTCGGCATTTTCAACTCAAGTGACTTGACAAAATTTGTAATGTAATTCAAAATATTGATAAAATAATGTCAAAGTTTCATCAAATTCTAATCAACTAGTCCCACTTTAAAAAATTCATGAGAAACGTTTGAAAATCAGTCTCCTATGTGGTTTCTCCCCTTAAGTACTTTCAATTGCAAAATAAAAATTAACAAGAACTGAATCCATAGTAAACATTCGGCTCATATTGAGGGGATAAAACGGGATTCTAGCCTTGAATTTATTTTTAATTGTATTATTAATTCCCTTTTTATCTGTTGATGTTAATACCAAAGTCCTAATTGGCCCATAATAGGGAGAAATGAGTACTATAGTCTTCCCGAAGTCAGTTGAACATGTATAAAAACGCCTAGCAATAAAATTTAATGAGCTTGATAGGCATCCCTAAAAGAGTTTTCTGCTAAAGGTAAAAAATTATAATAATTTGTTTATAATGTGTAAAGGTCTCCAAAATGCCTTATAATAATATTAGTAAACAAAATATCTCTCTTATTTCTCCCTTTCGCAATTGTAATATGAATGATTAATAGAAGGTGCCTATAATAAATTAAAATTACCTGAATCACACCAAATTCTGCATTGCTGCACTGCACTGTTAGGCCATTTGTCAACAACTGAATTTATGGCCAGGTCGCCCAGTGCGGCTGTGTTTGTTCCGCGGTTACACGCGCGCTCATTCTTCAACTAGGCAATCAGACCTGTATATGGGTATGACTAAATAAATATGGGATAAAGTTTTTCAAATATTTAGGCCGAGTTGCTGCGTCAGCGACCGAACTTGGTACAAACTGCCAATTTCTTGGTTCTTCAATTGAGATCGGAAAGACTATACACATTAAATGAAGACTTGATAATATTTTGACTATTTTGAATGTTATCAATTTGTATCGTAACATGTTCATTTTTTACTTTACTGTGAAGGCATTAAACTAATTCAAACAAATTACAATTTTTTTTTCTAAACAATCAAATGAAGTTAAATAATGTTCATCGGTTTTCTATTCTTGAAAAGTTAGGAATCTTGTCTATGCAGTCTTGGATATTTTTGCATACTTATATTTCTGGTATCGAAGAACATTTTGTTTGACTTCATTTGACAGTTTTTTAAAAAACTTTGTTGAATTTGTTTGAATTAAGTTAATATCTTTAAAACAGAGTAAATATATGAGTATTAATAATAGAATAAATGTTTTTAAAAAGATATTATTTTTTCTACGATTTTTGTGGCCAATTTTTTTATTTCTAAGAGTTCACAGTTCGTCTCAATTGGAACATCCATTCTAAAGTTATAAGCAAAAATGTGTCCACATAAAAAAACTCCAATACCATTTATATAAAGTTAAAATATGACTTACGTATCTAAACCAGGCCGCAGGTGCACCTTGAAAACACCCCACACCGGTTTATGGTCGGACGTAGTAATAGAAGGTACTGAATCATACACCAAACACCTCAAAGGAGGAGTTTCCAACTGCCCGCTCAACCTCCTCGTGCTCTTTTGCTTATACAGTATCCTATCGGTATAAGCCGGAGTCCTCTGTTTGGACGACGTATCAAAATTTTGAGTCCCGGGGTCATACTGAAACGATTCATTAATCGCATAAAGCAACGCCTTTCTTAATGACTTAACGCACCTTATAAGTAGGGGAGAAAGTTATTTTAGCCTCGCTGAATCCCTTGAAAGCCGCTCCATCGGCCAGAACTGAACACAGTTGATCGTGGTGCATGTAGCCGTGAGGTAAGTGCGGAGGTAGTGGAAAGTTTGTTTTGGACAGCCATTCTAGTACTTTCGCTCTTGGAGTGGAGAGTCGGAAGTTTAGGTCGCCGGACCAGAACACATAGTCGAAGTTCTGTGTAACATCTGGAAAGAAACGTTCGTGGTAATGTACAGGGTGTAGTTAAACTGCTTGGCCAAACTTTAATGGCGGATTCTGTCACAAATTAATGAAAAATGGTTCATGTAAATATGTGTACAAAAACGTTTCCATTTCAAGACACAAGGTGTTCAAAATCAAAGTGATTTGATTTACATCAAGCTAGAAAAACAGTGGAGGAAAATTAATGTGAATAACATTTTATATTATTTTCAGGTAACATTATTTTTAAATAAATTGATGCCATGACACTTTTAGAATAATTGCTTATACATTGCAGTGAAACCGTTTGTGACATTTATGTTTTTTTAGTTTAACAGATCATCTCTACAAACATTTTTGTTAATATGTGACCTCTAGAAATCCTCCAGCACTATTAATTTGATACCTTTTATTAATCAATAAATCATCTAATCAACTTTGAATGAAATTATGTGTTATTTTTTGAAACATTGCAAAAATTAATCAGATTTATAGCCCAGTTACTGTAGCTGAAAACATAGTAATACCTCCGAATTTTTTATAACTGCATTGATTTTTCTCAAAATTTAGAATTAGGCTCATCTTACCCCCCACTTCAAAACTTATATATGCGTTAGGTGTGCTTTTTGTTCTTAAGGGGTGAAAACCACCCCTTATTGGAAAAAAAAGAAAAAATACAAATTTAAGCATTTTATGTAATCAAATCTTTTTTATTTATGCAGTATGAGTAATTTCATGTGCTATCTAACATGATATGCATCCCAAATTTTCAACCTGGAAAAACCTTTAAAAACCACCCCTTTGGATGAAAATAATATAAAAAAATTGTTTCCAACTTGAAAAGTTTTAATCATGCATTTTTATCAAATTGAAATTGATTTCTTGATTAAAAAATCTTTTTTATCAATTGCAACTTTTCAACCCTTGAAAAATATCCCTTCTTTCGATAATAAAATGAAAAAATATTATTGAAAGAGTAGAAACATTTTATATGTGCATTCGTATTAAATAAACATTTATTCCCTTCTTATAAAATAATTTTGAATTGATTGCAACTTTTCAACCCTTAAAATTGACCCCTTACATTTATTTATATATTTATATATATTTTCCTAAAATTATCACCTATACACGTGTTTATTTTTTTGACAATAACTTTCTTACTTTTTAAGATTTTTAATCGCACAAATGCTCATTTTGCAGGGAATTGTAAGGGCTACATGATTGTTGAGTTGATCTTTTTTAAGCCCTTCATTTTTAAGTTTGATCATTCATATGATAACTTAAAATGGCGATATCTCGATTAATATTAATTTTAGAGGAATAATAAAATAAAGCAAAATCTTCAGCAAAAATAAAGCAAAATTTTTTTACTCTTGTATTTTTTCGTACACTCTTTAATTTTTAAGTTACAGCAAAAAAATCGAATTTTTTAAAAAAATTTGAAAAATTAACATTTTCAAAAATTAAGTTTTTTTTCGAAATCATGCTTTGTAAGTGAGCCAAAGACCCAGAACATATTCTTAGAACATAAATGAAGAAATCTGTAAATGGATTGCATTTAATTTTAATTCTGTCGCCAAAGGCACTGATTTGTTTATTTTTTTCTTAAAAAAAATGAGACTATCATGTTATTTCGATCATATTTCCATTAATTTTGATTCTAAAGACTTTTAAAACAGCTCATTTTAAAGGTTTTTCAAAGTACTTTAAAAAAGGTTCAAATAGTTTTGTTTCCTAATATTTATGGTTTTGGCGTTATTTAACGTTAACTGGTTCCAATTTAGTTTTTAGCTAACATAATAATGATTAAAAATCCATAACTCGGTTTATGTTGCCATTAGAGAAAAACAAAATAATACCATTAGATTTGTTTTTTTATTACCTTTCTTTTTGTTCGTTACAACTTTTTCGTTAAATCCAATGGTTTCAGAGTAATTTGCAAAAAACTGTCCGAAAACAAGCACTTTTTCAGTAAAAAATCAACATTTTTGATGACGAATTACTCGGAAAATATTGGATTATCCAAAAAACTTTATATAACATTTGTTACTTAAAATTGACTTCTCTATCGATTACTGTGGTTATTTTTGGCGTAAAAATTTACACCCCCAAGAAGGAGTGGGAACAACCCGCAGGGCAAAAGCACACTTCGGCACTATATAAGTTTTGTTCCTTGAGGCATTCCCCACATTCAGTTAAAATTCCATGTCAATCGGTTCAGTTATAAAGATTTCAGAGATAAAAACCCTGAGTAACTGGACTATTATTGATGACCAGTCGCTTACCAGAGAATATTTTTAATTTGTAATCTGTTATTAATCATTTTCAAATTTCATAAATTATTCTTTGAATTGGATTTGTTATGCTTACTTATGAATTACTTTACATTTCTATACTGTTTTTGTACTTTATACCTGCCTTCTCATTAACAGATTTTAGAAAAATTACATTGCGCATACCTTGTCCGTTATTTGAAAAATTTTAAAGTAAATCCTCGTGAAATGTTACCTTTATTATCATATTTAAGAAATTAAAACAATTGTTAATACGTATAAACTATGATTTTAATAGAATTATTGAAATATAGAGAAAAAAATGATCATTTCATATGTTCCGTTTGGGACTATAGTCATTAGGTCATTTTTGGTAAGTGACTGTCATCACTAATCAGATTTCATGTAAAATGAACCATAACACAAAAATTAGGAATCGGGTAACTAATAATTTCATAATTTATATTTCTTTAGAATCATTTACTTTTCGCCTACTTATTTTACAGAGAGGTAGTAAAGATGGTTACTTTTCCATGTGAATGAAATGGATTTAATTTAATTAGACATTTAATGGTCAGTTATTACAATAGTTTTTTTTTAAATCGGGATGGGAATTATTACATACCACTTTAATGTAGCTACCAAATTATGCAGATGTTACCATCCTGTTTAATATTATCAAAATAATAGTTAAAAAACAAAGAAAATAATGGGAAAACCAAACAACTCAAAGTATACTTAAACGACGTTCAAATTCAAACACGTCAATTGTTAATTATAAAAATTTTACTTACCATCAGAATATTTACCTGCGCTATGTAACGTTGTGATCGCAATATTAAATAAAATATATAAAAGTATCTACTTAAAAAGAAAAAATTATATTATTCTTAAATAATTACGTTTTTTTCCAAAATGGTACACCGCTTTTGCTGTAAATCTGAAAAGAAAAAAATAGAGTTTCAGTGCGCAGACAAAATCAATTTCCACAAGCAACACACAAAAAAAATTATCAAACAAACGAAGTAGTATGCAGAATGAGGTTTATAGTAGGTACACATATTAGAGAAGTGGATGAGATACCCGTTTACTGGGGTGTTGTGGGTAAGAAGAGTGTGTATATACACAAGGTGTTACTTTAAATGGGGATTACTTTGACCTTTAAAATAAGTTTGATTTCTCATATGCCAAAAGTGAAAATTAACAATTTTTTTATACTTTCTTCGCAATTTTTATACCTCGCCGCTGAACAGGTTGCAGTAACCACAAACAACTCTGTATGCTAGCCAGGAGAATATACCCAATCGGGAGCTGTGGCATGCATTGTTATTAAACTCCTTCGTTCTTCATTCGTATTACATGTTTTTTTATATCACACAAAAATTTAACAATGAAGACACACAAACACATACTGCCACTAAACACTGAAAATAAATTACATATAAACTACACTAAATACCACTTTAAATCCATTTTACTATAAAATTGACCTTGACAAAACACAATAACACTACGCTATTTACATTCCGATAAAAACTAATTCTTCACACGAAAAATCACGAAATTACCTACTTCACCTTCTCATGAACAGAAAACTAAAATATATGTAATAACATGAAGCGATGATATAGTGAGCTATTCACTTTTCGACGAATTGTCCTTGACCATTTGTTTTTACCCGCTTAGCACCCTATTGTCATATCACATCAGATGAACTAATATTACGTAGTTCGCCTAAACTAGATCAATGTCATGGGTCATCGACACTTACATTCACAAAGTAAACACAGTGCTTTAAAAACTTTGACAAACAAATGATTACATTTAATAAAACTAAAAATAACTATTTTAAAACAAATTAGTTTTAATTACAGAGTAATGTATGTCTATATACATACTAATATTAGTTAATATTTAATAAGTCCAGCACAAATTATTAATTTTTTAAAAACACTCGAAACATTTTTTAATGTTCAGCGCTTTGATATAAAAAAAATGTGGCAACTTTAAACAATTATGTAGCAAAGTTGCACAAAAGCTGCCTTTATGAAATTTTATTGTTTTAAAAAGGCAACAACTGATAAGTGTGCACTATAACTAAGTCCGCTGCCCAGTGACGGCGTAGACATGAATTTTAAGCAGTTTAAAACACAAATTATAACCCGAATATTTATTTGATTAAAGATATAAATATTGCGGATTAGTATTCTGTTCAACACATACTATTATTCCAAAAAACCGAGCCCCATTTAAAGTTACACCCTGTACAAATATAAAGGGTGTTTGTGGATAAAACTAAGTGCAAAAAAACACAAAAACCAAACTATTGCAAAAAGCTAATAATGTTACTTACTAATCTCTTAACTGTTTTTAGCTGTTTATGATTTCTATACAACTGTGCAGAACGGAACTCTCACTAACAAAAGTTACTAACTTGATAGAGTCATATATTTCGCACCATTACTATTATTACATTTCTATTATTATTTAAATATTTTAATTAATTCTAGAGCACTTACATACTCTAATTTCGTAGACGTTCAAGATTAAACATTTGTATTTTAAGGTAAAAATATTTACACACATGACAATGTAATCATATATTAAAGATACCAACCTTTGCTTTTATTTTTACAAGGCAGAACTTTTGGCAGATCCATGGAATGCACAATTTTTTTAACATCTCCAACTCTCTCCTTAACTTTTTCTTGGTGGGCGGTAAGATGAGCTGTTACAAATAAAAATGAGGTGCCAAACAACATAAAGCAGGTGGCCACGGCGCCTTTCGTTCGGAAAGCACTTCCCGGCCTCACAGACAAACTAGCATCCTCAGGGATAGATACGTACCATATTAAGTCACGTCGTATAAAAGTGGACAAGTGCAATGTACCTTAAAATAAACGTGCTGATAAGACTAGCATTCATAGAATGGTTTTCATACCTAAAGATGCAGAATGGAAGAGCAAATGAGACGGACCTATAGTTTCTTGTAAACTAACTTCCCACTCGTATCGTTCCGAAGATGATTCTTGCGTACCAAAAGATAATATATCTGGTACGTGCTCTACACCAACTGGTAGGACAAAATCATTTAGTTCCCTGAAAAAGTAATTAAGTTATCCAAGACAGAAAAATTATTACTATTTACTTTGGTGGTGAGTGCCCGTTCATATTCCAAGTACCGACAAATATGGTAACTTCTCTATTAGGACATACTCTGTCAAGTTCTACTGCACCTAATAACGAATTGGCTCCGATTTTTCCCTGTAAAAAGTTTCTCTGTCTTGCTTTACTTGTTGGAATAAGATATACATTACTAATTCCTAAAAACCAAACAAATATTTTAATTTGCTAGTTAATTTAACTTTATTTTTGACTACTAAAATAAAACTTACTATTTTCAGCATCTCTTAAATTCAAAATACTTTCATGAGATATGGATTTTTCATCAAATTTATTTTCAGAACTTTCTAGATCTTCTGCAATGTCATCAATGTTACTTTCAGAAGCACTGTTCCGTCTATTTAAATTCTACAAGAAGCGTTAAGAAAAATAAAATTAAAAATTCCTATGATTCTACTTACATGAGATATGCATAATTCTGTTTTACCATTCATATTCCTATGTTTAATATCAAAGCTGAGAGGTCTCTTTGAAATAGTAATGTTACTCTTTGCTTCTGAAGAGGTTAGGTACCTTAAAGATTGATCTTTTGCACTTTGACTTCTTGAAACGGCAACCCCTACCTTGTTAGGTGTCTTATTTGGCAACAAGTAGCTGCTGAGGCTCTTCCTTTTGTTCTTGTCTTTGTTTTCCATTGTTATTGAGAGATTAGTTATTGATTATTTTGTAGTGATTTCATACATTATCCCAGAGGTTTCAAATATGTTACTGCATTTTCCCATAAAGTATTAAATTAAATTAATGTAGAAATTAATGCATCGAAACTCACGAATTAAAATGAAAAAGCAAAAAATTAAATATAACATACAACACTTTTGGTTATGTTGTTTGTATTGAAGTTTTGACAAATGTCACATAATACAAGGAAAAGTGTCTTATTCTTCTTCTAAATTTAACCTGCTGTCATGTATTATGTTAGTACTGAAATCTCCTAACCCAAAATAAATGAAGTGATGAATAATAAAATTAATTCTACTTCATTATTTACTTTTACGGAGCTCTCTTTTCTGGAATAAATCATATTTGGCAATAATAATTATTGTTGGTTAGATACATTACGTATATTTTATTTGAAGTCACTTCTTTATACATATCTTACTCAAATTAAAAGAAAAACAATATAAATGATTTATTAAAATTAATTAAAAATACAGTTTAAAAAATGTAACATATTACTGGCATTAATTTTGCAAATGAACCATATAAAACCAGGTAATTAACATTCCTACAAAGAAAGTTAGTATGTGAGTTAAACACGGAAGTCTGGGGAAACTTTTCGTAGACATTTTGGACATGTAGTTTAGGTTGTTGAGATTGTATGGTGGATATCTCACAGCAGACATTCGTTCGCCGAAATTACTGAGTTTCTTGATAAGAGTGCCTTTAGAGTGGGAAAAAGTATCGAAGGAAAATTTTCCGTGATAAGCACCCATACCACTATTTCCAACTCCACCGAAAGGTAAAGTATCGCATGAGAAATGCATCATAGTGTCATTAACAAGCAAGTTACCGCTGGATGTGTTTTTCAAAAACAGCTCGTGGATTTGACTGTCATTGCTAAACACGTAGAGTGCCAAGGGTTTTTCCATTTTGTTGATAAACGACACAGCTTCTTCCGCATTTCTGATGTTAACTATAGGCAAAACTGGACCAAAAATTTCCTCTTGCATTATTATATCGGCGGAGTTTACTCCTTGTAAGATTGTCGGCTCGATGAAGCGTTCCTGGGGGTCGCTCTTTCCACCCAACGCTATCTGTGAACCTGGGAAAATGATCAATAGTATTAGTCTTAGGTTAGAAAATGGATATAACTATTTTTGTAGTAAAGCAGTGCAAAAAAAGTTAAGTGTACATAATCATTTTTCACGTTAGAATTGTCTTTTGTTCAAAATCTAGAATTTTTTCAAAACTTCGCGAAATAGTGTAGGCGTGAGGGATAAGAAGGAATTAAAGAACATTTTAAGTAATTACAAAATGAAATAGATTAAAAAGTATAGAATCCGTCTATTTCATTTTGGCCTAATTTAAGCCTTTAAAAAATTTAATTGCAATTTTTTGAATATATTAGTCTATTGTAGTGGCAACATGAGCACGCTAGGATCCATTTTTATGTGCAGTTATCTCGGTGTTGCCAGATTCATTCACTAAAATGCATCCGCTACAATAAAATTATATCTATTTACAAATGACACATAAAATTGCGATTAGAAGATCCATATATTACTGGTTTGTAAATTAAAGTTATTTTAGCAAATATCGTCATATATCATTTTCAAATAGTATTGATATTTTACAGACAACTTTGATTACATTAATCCGGGGACTTCAACGCGAAGTCCCCCATATGGCACAGCGGGACGACGACCACAAGAGGTCGCGTCCTGCTGAATTACCAAGACAGACACGACGACTTGACTATACTCGGACCGACAGAACCGACACATTACGGACCCGTAGGACGCCCCGACGTTATCGACATTGCCCTCTTAAAATCTATACCGTTAAACGCCCAAATATCCACCCAATACGAAGGGTCTTCCGCCCACAATCCAATATTTCTGGATCTGGGGCGAAGACAGAGATATGAAGGCACCTTCACGAGGAGGTTCACTGACTGGGAGCGTTTCCGAACAGTAATGCAAGGAAACATGGCGCTCCCAGTCATCGAAACCACCCATGATCTGGAGGCGGCAATCCTCTCCCTTGAGACTGACATTAAAAACGCCCTGACTCAGACTACGACGGAGACTATTGTCCCCCGACTGACAAACCCCCGGGGCACCCTCCCCGATGACATAAAAAACTTAATACGTGACAGACGACGTGCG